CCTCTTGGTAATAAGGTACGGGCCTTCCCAGTATCTCTGTAGTTTTGGACTTATCCCTTTCTTCTTCGTTGGGTCGTACAACCATACAACATCTCCTTTGTTGTAGCCGCCTGCGTTTGCTTTGTGGTCATAGTTTTTCTTTTGTTTTTCTGTCGCTACTTTCAGGTGTTCTCTCGCATACCCTTGTGTGGTTTCCATGTGCTCGAGTAACTTCTCTGCGTACTCTGTATGTTCACTGTACCTTTCTTCTGGGGGTCGCTCAATTAGCAAGTCCGCAGGTAATTTCACATCACAGCCTAACATTAGCTCACTTGGCGTGCATCCCGTGGTCTCGTGAATCGAAGTTCGATATGCCATCATGATATAAGGCAGACGCTGATCCCAATCACGCTGGTTGTCTGAAACGAACATGGAGAGCATGGCTTCCAGCGTTTGATTAAACCGTTCAACCATTCCATCAGATTGAGGATGAAGAGCAGTGGTTCTAGTTTTGTCGATGCCGAGTAGCTGACAAAGTTCCTGAAACACATGCGACTCGAAGTTTCCACCCTGATCTGAGTGTAGTTGTAACGGGACACCGTATCTGCAGATAAATTCTTCTGTGAGAACATTGGCGACAGAGGTTGCTTCTTGATTTAGAATGGCGTATGCCTCTGTCCATTTCGTGAAGTACTCTGCAACGACCAGTATGTACCTGTTCCCTCGATCTGAAACTAGCAGAGGACCCATCACATCAATGGCTATTCTTTCTATTGGTATGCCGACATTGTACATCTTCATAATGGCTGCGACGGTGCTTCAGCGGTTCTTTACGAGTTGCGCAGATATTGCAACTTTTGCAAAACTTGCTGACGTCACTTCGCCACTCGTACCAGTAGAACCTTTTCTGAACTCTGTCAGACGTCTTAGTCCGTCCCAAGTGTCCGGACGTTGGTTCACAGTGAAGAAGTCTCATCAAGTCTTCACGCATATTCAAAGAAAGGATTAATTGCCACGTCATCTTATCACCTACAGCTGATTCCCATCATCTATACAGCACTTTATCACGTACTTCTGAACGCTCCCATTGCGTCCAATAGGATTTAACTACTCTGCCCTCGGGAGAGACTTCTGCCCAGTCTGGTCGCTCTTCTCTTGACTCTTTCCATCAGAGTATCTGCCCGATGTCTCTGTCATCCAGTTGCGACCCTCTCAAGTCTTTGGCTGTCCATCCGAGGTCTCCTGACCTCCAGCCCTCTTCAGACTTTTCCTCTGGGGTTTCTTCTCCGGCCTCGGTAGTTCTAATCACGGAAAAGTACGTTATTGGTACATCTTGTGCCTCGGTATTTGCGTTGGGGTCAGTGCTTACATCTTGAATGCCTTCATTTTCATCAGCTTCATTTGTGCACACGGGTTGGGCTGAACAACCATGCACTTCATCATCATTGCCATTGCATGGCGATTTTTCTTTGTCGATACACTTCTCTTTGTGGCTCATCACTTCTTCTTTCTCATTGCAATTAAGCAAGACATCATTTGGCTCTAAGTTAATGATGGCTGTCGGCTTCGGTGTGATGTCATGATCATGCATTTCATGGTCATTGTGCTCAATTCTTTCGCACTGTTGACATTCGTCACATGGCCGGTGAGATAAGCCGTCTGCATTACCGTGTTGTCTGCCAGGTTGTTCATCGGTGTGACAAGGTGCTGCTCTTACATCACAGTGGTCTACATTTGTCACCACTTCTTCTATTAGCTCGCAGGTAGCAACGTTGGTACCTTTGTAGAGTGTGGCATGTTTCTCTGTTTGGTTCAAAATGCGAACTGGAATCTTTCCACTGTCGGTGTATACCAATGACCTGGCGGTTATCATCTCATGTCTCTCTATCAAATTAGCCGTTGGTTCAACTACAGCCAGTCCTGTAAGCCCTGTTTCTCCTTCCAGTTTCCCTGGTAGCAATACCTCTCCGTCTGGTGGAATGCTCACAGTAGTGTCTGCAGTGATGCGGCATGATGATGCTGGTGCCCGTGCAGTGGCTGTGCACGCTATGGGTATGTCGTGCAGTTCCATTTTTGCCTTACCCACATCTAGATTACAGTTGTATTTCATCATGAAATCATAGCCCACCCATACATCATATTGTACCTGAGGGCTCTGCTTGCCGATTTTAAGTTGAAAACTCCCACACCCAATGGAGAGTAGGGGCTTGCCATTTGCTGTTACCATGGTGATTTCTTTATTCTCTAGTTGTGGTCGCGTTGATTCAGGTATGGCGTAGTAAATCTCTGGCCTCACTATCGTTATGTTGGCCCCTGTATCTACCAGAAAATTCACACCAACCCCTTCTAGATGTCCGGCCACATACATGCCACCTGCCCCCACTGTCGATCTGATGCGTGGCTTTATTGTTGTTGTTGTTGTTGTTGGGTCTGTTGGCCCGGGCCTGGGTGCTGTAGTCGATCTTCGGCCCACAAGCTCGACTGTCTGCCGTTTCCCTGAAGTGAGCGTGTATCATTTCTCCATGAACCGGCTTTTGGGCATTCTCGTCGGAAATGGCCGGTCTCGTGGCAGTTCCAACACTCCACGGTGCCTTTGTCTCTCTGGCGTGCCCATCTTCGTCGTGTTGATGATCTGGGGGTAAACTTTTGGCCATTATCCATCTTCCCTTCCCCATTAAGTTGTTTCTGTAGATTGTTGAACCCTTCGGTAATAGCATTACTGATTGTAGAGGTAAATGCTGATTGTGCGGCTGTTGTATCTGCTGTGTCAGAGGATATCACTCTGGCAGCCGTGCTGACCGTCTTATTTGGCCCCGTTGTCTCTCTGCCGTATGAAATGCCTCAAGCTCAATGGCAACTCTCACAGCCAACGGATGTCAGCATCATCTAGAGCATCCATGAAATGCTCTCTCGCTAGTGTTTCTTGTAGCTCGTAGGGTGCCGTTGGGTATGCCCGTCGTGTCAACCGCCTTATGCTCTGGGCCAACTCGGGAGGTTTCTCATCACGCCCTCTTGTTCGGTTCTTTAATTGAACACGAAACATCTCCGTCGGGCTAAATCGTCGACCAAGTGCTGTGACGAGGGCGTTATAATCTCGTCATCTAGTGACATCTAAGTCACCCAGCACGGCCTGTGCTGCGCCCCGTAGACTAGCGGCCAGGTACATCGCCTTCTCCCATGCACTCCACCCGTTGAGCTCAGCCAATAGCTCAAACTGCACAAGGTAGTCTTCCCAGGGGCTCATACCATCATACGTCGCTGGCCGAACTCTCGGCTTATTGCCAGACAGGGCTGACATGTTGTTCTGTGTCGATCTCTGTTGTTCCATGTTGTACGGTGACGGTTCTTGTCGTTCCATGTTGTACGGTGACGGTTCTTGTCGTTCATTATCGGCAGTGCCCTTTGCCGCAAGTTGCCGCCGCAACCTCTCGTTTTCTTCCTTCATCAGGTTGATTTCTCGTCGTTCACGTTGAAATGAACCGTCACCATCACCGCCCAATGCCGGTGAACTATGTATGGTGTCATCTTCTGGCGTACTTGAACGGCCCGCCCCGGCGGTGGGTCCGAACTGGATTTCTTGATCAGAAGTATTCATCTTCTTTTGTCGTTCTGGTAGCGTGTACAATACCTCCGTCAAAGTCCGGTCACCACTGCCACTAAATGTAACGGGCGCGAAATTACTAGTTCAAGTACTAAATGACTAGAGACTAAACAAGAATTCTGACTGGAGAGATCGTGTTGTTCTTCAAATAATAATAACGGTTTTATTGTCTTCCAATACTGTTGGCACACACCGTGCCCGATGCGTATAATCTAATGTCTATGTGGATAACGATGAGGCGGATGTGCATTGCAATCGAACGTTGAGTACGACACGCTCCTTATTCTGGGTGAACTTCCTCACCGGGCCAGAACCAGTCACGATCTGAACACCGAGCCCCGACTTGGCTCGTTTGGGCGTGTACATAACGTAAGGAGCTAGCGCATCATAACAAAATGTCTCTTGCAATGCTCTGATTGGCCATAAACCACTGCGCCAAATATTATTCTTATTCATAAAAATCATAGCGTCTTGACCTATAAAGCTTCGATGAATTAAACTTGTACAAGTCATTTCATTTAACTGTTCATTTAACAGTCAACTGTATTGGCATTAATTCTTCTCATTGAAATACAAGTTATTAACTTAAAACTTATCTTCTTATCTTCCGTAAGTCCTATCAATTAAGTTTATGAAAGGAACCTGTATCTTATCAGAGTGAAGAATAAAGTGTGCTAACTGGAAATTAATCATCGGACTTGCATTTTCGTTACAATATAAAACCAAGAAGAGTGTATCTGAGGGCAGGGTTTTGATTTTTGTCAGGGGATGTTTTGTGTAGAACAACAATGAAGACCACTGAATGCAGCATAAATACTATATGGCGACACACCGTGAATTCATGAAGCCACATGTTTATTTGCATAACATCAAGTTGTTGAACTGAAAAGTGTGTTAAAAATTTGCATTTTGTACAGAATGTTCAAAATTGTAAAAACAGAGCAGTAGATGGTGTAGTTACATGTGAGAGCTCCATGGGAGAGACATATAGGGGGCATATCATTTACATGCACATGGTATGCATGGGGTGTGGTGCAAAGTACACAAGTAATTAAAGTTTGATATTCACAAACCTGTTTAGTGTTTGCATAAGGACAAGACATTTATTAGGCCTATAGAACTAAACATAAGTATGTATTAAATGTGGGTACAAATAAGAAGTTACCCTTAACTGGATACGACCTGATCACTGTTTTGAAATGGTCGGAATTGGGTGAATTTCCCATCACCCTTTGGTTTTGTCTTCGTTCTTTCATGTTGTAGTTCGTGTTCGTGTCAGATAGGTTGACACCTGAAACTCTTTTGGGAAAGGTCCCTAATTTGCAGAAATCGTAAATAGCTGCCGTGTAATATAGTTATTCCTGTATTTTGATATATTTTCTAAATTTTTTGACGTAATATCTGTCGTATTTACTGAAAGGAATTCTGCAACAATTGTGGATTTGCTACCCGATGGCGTTGTGCATGTAAACGAAAGAAGGGTGAGTGTGCCATTTGTGACTGCATCCGGTATGACAATCTTCCAGGAAGGAGTGTACAAGGTCTGCCGTGGGATTGACGGTAAGAGGAATAAGGAAGCTTTTGAAAAAGGCAGGACATTCTCAACCGAACATACATGTATCCTGTGCTTATGGGAATGAAATGATGATCCGTTAATGCTGTCTTTTATGCATAATATCACAGTTTGCATGACTTACCGCATGCTGTCAGGTCAGTCGCGGATCCGGGGGGGGGGGGGGGGTGATTTTGGGGTAAAAAAACCCCGGATATTCAAAATATTCAAATACGTATCCTGTAAACATTTTCTATTTATAGAAATTCATTAAAAATAATGCAAAATAGTGTTAATAATCATCGAATTTGAACAACGCCCCCCCCCCTTTGAAAGTATGGTACGAGGCCCCTCCCCCTCCCCCCCCCCAATGGATTTTTGGAGGCCAAGTGTCCAGAGAAAAAAGCTGTCTATAAAGGTTCATTTTCAAATTACATGGGCCCTTTAAAGGGAATATACAACATTTGCAAACATCGAAAAATAAAACTACCAAGTTTTTGCGAAATACCTTAATAGGACGTTGGTAAATGACAGTCTAAAGCATCCTGTAAAATTATGGCACCTGGTATACTGTCATTTTCAAGAAAAGTGGTATTTTTGTATCAATTTCCAACGCTGATCGGCCGATCAGCGTTGGAAACAACTGGCTTTTTTTCAAATACTGGCCCCAATTGACTATTGCACTTGTTTGCAATCGATTACAAACCTATGAACGGGTACGAGCCAGCTAGACTGGTTCCCTGACCTTACAATTCCCCAATGTATGTAAACTGCTCTGTTTCTTCTTATATGGAGTCAGGGAACCAGACTACAGGTAAATGATCGTTTTTCTTGGTTTTTATAGCATTTTCGAACCCAAAACCTCCAAAAAGTCAGTGTAACTATATTTGCTTTATATTTCCAATCCCCCAATTCCATCCATTTCTGAAAATTACAGCAAAAGCAAATGATGTATATTCCCTTTAAGATACTTTGTCTGATCTTGAAGGACCTATAAATCGTGGTCAGATTAGAAGAGGGGCTGAAATGGCAAGCCTAGGCTACTTAAATATCTTCTTGTAATAGCTCAGTTAACAATACAAGTATGCCTTTGTTTTGACTGCTGTTGCAATGTGTTGACTCCATGCCATGATCTCAGCCCCTGCATTATATATTCACCATTTATAAGTAGATTTCTTTTAATTACTGATGTTTCGGGTTCATATGCAGAGACTCGAGTGTCATTTGATGGTAGTAATGGTGTGATCATCGCTGTCAACAAAATCCATGAATCGGCATGGGAAGCAAATGATGCCTACAGCCTGTGTGGTAACTACGACAAGGATCCCACAAATGACCTCCGTGGCCACTCTGTCCAAGAATTTGCTGACAAACTCATGGTTCCAGAAGACGGTGTTCTTTGCACAAAGCCAGGAGCAAGCCTCCTTAATCCGTTTGATAACCTCAACGCAGTTAACAAGGGTAGAGTCCAGAGGGCCTGTGACGAGTTTGCCACCGACCCGCTATTCCAGCATTGCCGGTCCCTGCACAGCGTGCAGCCGTTCTACAATTCCTGCTGGTTAACTCTGTCAAACGCTCTGCAGGAGGGCTTAAGCTTTGATCAAAGGCTGTGTGATGTCTTTGCTGAATACTCCTTGGCATGCTCGCGGTATGGTGTACCTGTGGAGTGGAGGTCAAAAAACTTTTGTCGTAAGTGTTTTTCATAAATTTTTAAATTTTGATTCTAGTGTTGATCTTAAAAAGTCAATGCAAGTCCTTAAGTTCTTAATGCTTCTAAGGTTTCCTTTAAAAATGCATGGAGCAAAAAAAAGTCTCACATAAACAAAGGTACTGACAGTCACAATCTAAGGTACAATATAACAAGCATGTATGCTGCTACTACACGTGACATGGGCCTTATTCACAAGTTGGCCATATTGAATTGAAAGTTGAATTTGCGAAGAGAAATGAAAGCAACTTAATTTATAATAAATTCCAGTCTGTTTCAAGAAATAATTTTGAATTTGTAATTAAACATTGCCAAATGTTTAAAGCCATATTTAAAAAAAAGACAGTAAAATAAGGCTGCATTGTGCCTGCATAAATAATCTGGTGCCATCCAATTCAACAGTTAACAATTAATGAAATAAATTCAGTGAACTCAACAAAAATGGCCAACTTGTAAATAAGGCCCATTGTCGTCTGATGGAATTTTTGTATTAAGTATGTACTTCTAATAGTTTATCTCTGCTTGATTTATCTAATAATTTATATCATATAATTTATCTTTTTCTTTTATCCCAGATGTTTCTTGTGACCATGACATGGTGTACACGGAGTGTGGATCCGCTTTCCCTCAGACCTGCGAGACATTTTTCTTTCCAGGGGACTCCGGAAATGAATGCATTCCAGGCTGTCAGTGCCCATCAGGTAAATTCCCAAATAGGCCATATTTTCTTCAGCCAATGAGGGTGTGATAGTACCATTGTCTTGTAACGAACAGTAGAAATAACTCATTTATTGAGTACCAGCTGTACTTCAATTGAAAAATTACAGAAATTTAAAATGGAGGAGTTGCCAACTTTGCAGATGAACGCTCGTTAGGCAGGTTATTCACAATCAACTGTGAATAATTCTTGAACACACACCTGCCTGCACACACAGTTGTTTATTTCTAACAATGCTCTGTGTTTCCGTTTGTCCCTGTAACATAACACTCTCCCATAGACATAACTGTAAGATCAAGGACCGTTTTCAACAAAAGACCCAACGCAGGAGGACTAAAAAAGGATCTTTTGTTCTCCCTTTGTGTGTCTATCCTCGATCGTAAAGCCATACAAGAGCAGACTTACTTGTGGGGAAGACCATTGTTCCCTCCTTTTGTTCACCTTTGTTTCTTTTGAAGTCTCAAACTCCCTCACGTTTTCCTTGTGGGGCACATAGATTTTAAAGACTGACTTACAGGTCTATTTTCCCTATTACTCCGTGTTCTTGCTGCCTGATGAGGTACCATGTGTGTTGCACTTGATAGTATAACGGTGATGTTGTCACTTACATGTTGCATAAAGAAAAACAATTTGTAACTAGAGGTTGTGGTTGTGAACAACCACAGAGCTGTTCCCAGTTTTGATTCTCTATTGGACTGTAAACAAAATGATACCGGTATAATGATTTTAAAAATTATATGAAATTAATAAATTGAAATTATTACTTTTAAAAATTGCATTTCTGGTACAACCGGAAGTAAGGGTCAGATGACCTTGACATACACATTTTCATTTATAACACTTCTCTGTCTATAAACCTACCAAGTTTGAGATCAATCAGTCAAATAGTTTTATAGTTGTAAGACTACATGTATAAAGATTGCCTCATTAAATATTCATGACGTCATAACATGAAAACATTAAACTGTCCATTAATAATAATGCATACTATTAAACCTTCAATGTTGCTTAATGCTAATATAACGTGTCAACCCCATCAGATTTATAATTCATTAGATATGCTAATTAGGGTATAAAATTAACACTTCCGGTAACACCGGAAGTAGGGTCACATGACCTTGACATACCAATTTTCATCTATAACACTTCCCTGTCTATATATTTACCAGGTTTGAGATCAATCGGTCAAATAGTTCTAAAGTTACAGGACTGTAAAGATTGCCTCATTAAATATTTATGACGTCATAACATAACAAGAATAAAGTGCACAGTAATAATAATGCAATATAATCATCTGTCAATATATAGCTTTGTATAAATGTAGAGTTTCAACCCAGTCAGATTAATAATTCATGAGATATGATATAGGGGTCTAAAATTACCACTTCCGGTAAAACCGGAAGTGAAGGTCAGGTGACCTTTACATGTCAATTTTCATCTGTAACACTTCCCTGACTATATACATACCAAATTTGAGACTAATCGGTCAAGTAGTTCAAAAGTTGTAAGACTGTAAAAACTTAACATTCAAATCGATGTCACGTGACCCCTGATGACGTCACGATGACAACAAGTTTGGCATACATCATCAGATGATGGTTAATGACTATGCCAAGTTTAAAGTTGAACGGATTTAAAATAATTGCCAAAGTGGCTTGTAGAATAAAAAAGTGTACAAAACCTATGGGAAAAGTGGGAAAAGTGGAAAAAGAAAAAAAAAAAGGGAAAAAAAAACTTTAACGAAAACAAAAGCTGTTCCCAATTAAAATTGGGAACAGCTAATAACTAGAACTGTATGTCTGTCAAAACAGAACACAGGGCTTTTGTGCTTTCTTTTATGTAGGAGAATTTACTTCGCCGCACAATTATGAAGTGATTGCCGTAAACTTTGCTAGAGACACCAACAGAAAATTCATTTTAGTACTTTTCAACTTGTCCGTAGAGGGCATCCTAGCAATTTGTGATGTCATTAGTAACATATTTTGAAGGTTCAACCCGAGTAAAGACCAGTATCGTTTAAAGCAAACTCCTATCTTTGTCCAGTTTTAAATTACAGCAATGTATAAACCATTTCCAGCTGTTTGGACGGGAAGGAAGGTTCATGTGATTTCACACAAAAAGATTAAATGAAGATGTTGAATTCTGAATCCATAGCAGTTAGATAAGACTTTCGGGCTTATAAAATGAATTTTATATCGATTTTTAAAGAATTAAATCAATTTTTACAAAATCACGTTTTGATAGCGTCATAAGTGACGTCACACTCAAAAAAATATTATCAGGATGTAATATGAATTTTTATCTATAGTACAAATTTTTATTTATTTGAAGTGCCATGGGATAATATGTATTTTCTTTAGAGCCTCATCATGTTAAGCTTTTGTATTAATTCAAAATAATTTGAGTTTATTCAAAAGTTGTAACTTTATGTCATTATGATGTGATAAGAAACGCGAAACAGCTCAGTGTTCGTGCACACTTTGAAAAACGGAGACCGTTTGGCTAACACGGATATGATTGTGTAAATACTTTTTTGTGTAGAATGGGATCAACTGCCCGGTTTCTGGGCTCCCATCTCAGAGCAAATTCGATTTAATGAGAGGTTGAAAATGGGTACAGGTATATGACTGTGAAAGTGGGTGGATGCCATTTGTAAAATGGCTTTGGTCTTGGGATACATCATTTTTCTGTGGATAGGTTTAAATAGGTGTGATCATTTAAAGAGTGGAATTGGTTTAACCACCCGAAATGGAAGGGGAATAGAAAGTGAAAAGAGCAGGCGATATATTGATATTTGTTTTAGAAACAGCAGTGATGTCAGGCTGTGTGCACGTTTTACAGGCCTGAACGTTTTGGATTTTACACTGTAGTTTTTATTTGAATGGGACTGAGTGTAACGAGCATAGGGCCGGCCCTATGAAGAACGTGAAGTATATGTACTTGTTATTGTATGAACATATATGTACTGCCACTATTTGGGGTACTAAAAACTGCCAATAAAAGAATGAAACGTCTTGCAGCACCTCTATCTTATCGTACTGCCACTATTTGGGTTACTAAAAACTGTCAATGAAAGAATGAAAATATCTTGCAGCACCTCTATCTTATTGGTGAGTTGTTTAACAAGGGAAACTAATATGTGGCGCTTGGTCGGTCTGCGCCCTCATGACCACGTGCTGGTGTGGTGTATGGGAAGCAGGCGATGCCGAATCTGGTCATACATACACTTACACACTTGCGGTTTATGCTTGCTTTGAATGAGTCGGCATTTTTTACTCTCTCTGCCGCAACTTGCACAAGGGTATTTTTTGCCGATGCTGCGTCAACTGTGTGAACAATTTGACAAGCTGGGAACTTGGCACTGTTGAGGCAAATGTTTACGCTATCATTTAATGGGCAATTCAAGATTATATCTTACGGATTGATTTGTTAGCAATTTTTGAAAAAGGAAAGGTCTTTGATGACGTCATACGCCTAAAACTTCGCACACGTCTTAAGTGGGTCAAGGTCATCATATACACCAATATTTAGGCGATTCCGACAAACTTCGCCACAGACATCTATTCAAAATACATTTTTGAAAATTTTCAACCTGTCGCTAGAGGGAGCTCGAAGATTGCATGACTTCATCGGTAGATAATTTAAAGAATACTATCAGCCAAGAGACTAACACCGTTGAAAGCAAGTTCATATCTATAACCACTTTCAAATAATAAGCCACTTCTGGTTTGGGCCTTTTTCGACCGGAAGCAAGGGTCACGTGATTGCACGCACACTGAATGAAATAAAGACCTCAACCTACATGTACTCTACCACTTGCCGGCAACAGAATGCTGCGGACGCATACGGTTGATTTCTTATGCACTTTTAAATATTAAAAGTGTCACAGTTTAATTGCCTATAAATAACGGATGACGTCATCATGACACAATGTTGTTTGAATTAGGGTTTTTGCTTTGACAAAGAGTGGTGCAATTGAATTACTGGCAAAGAGTCGAAAATGCCCTTTGAAAATCGACAATTTTTTTAAAAATTTCTGTGTACAAAGTCTATGGGAAAAATTAAATATTCAAAATTCTACAATAAAAGGAAAACAAAAGCTGTTCCCAATTGAATTGGGAACAGCTAATTATTATGCTTAATAAGATTGAAAAAAAAAACACACTCTACCTTGCTTACAGATGGAAACATTTAAAAATTCAGCCTTTCTAAAATACAATCAGAATAACATTATTTCACTGAAGGGAGAATCTTATTAAAAATACTTCTTTCTGGGCTGATAAATTTGTTGTTTTAAATGTAATTGTTGTTTTAAATGTAATTGTCTTTCAGGTCTTTGTGCAATAAAAAATGAATTGCAAGATGATTTCTACTTTGTGTTGTCACATTCAGGCTTAATGTGTTTTTTTTTGTCTTTGATATATAATTAGAGACTTACTTCGCCGGAGATTCATGTATTGCCAAAGATAGTTGCCCATGTTTTCATGATGGTGAACCTAATCCTGCCGGTGCCATCATGAAGGACGAATGCCGAAACTGGTAAGCAACTTGTATGATAATTTCTGCTATGTAGAGACGGGCCACTACAAATACAGTTGAACGTCACTATAATTAACACAATGGGGTCCATAAGACATTGTTCAGTGAAGTGGGCATTTGTTACAGTTACTTTCAACTGCCAGAAGCTCAATTTCCAATATAGCATCCATGCCAATTCTTGACAGGATCGATGATTTCTGCTGCTTCCCAATTGATGAGGTGGCCTGTGGTATGGGCGTACTTGATGATTGCTAGTCAAAGTCCTCTCACCGTCCATGCCCCCTGTATAAGAACAAAAATGCTTGATTAGATTGATCTGATTATGAATGACGTATAATTGAAGAGAAATACGTACTGTGGTTTTTTTTTTACATATTGAGCAACATCGTTGCCCTTCATCAGAAGTTTTTACTGTCTGCCCGTTAGGTGGCTCAAACCAGACACTGGTCCCTCATGTAACTCAACATGCAGCCCCCCCCCCCTCGTCTGTTTGTGTTCTCATTCTTCCTAATCCAAAGAAAAAGATACATACACAGATAAAGAAGTAGATTTTGGGAATTAAATTGTTCAATATATACTTCATATTTGACTCAATGCAAATGAGTTGGGGCATGTGTGTGACATAGTTTATAGTGTTGTCAAACAGGCCTACATTTTTCCTGTTTGCCATTGTAAGCCCAATGTTGAAGACTGGTTCCTGGTCATTTTTCTAATAGTAGGAAAATAGTAGGAAAACCAGCATAGTACTGCTATAGTGTAGTGAGCGCGGAGTAGTGCTGTGGGGCTTGAGTCTCGTTGGGGGCGAGTTGACATACACACAAACAGCGGAGATTAAGTTTCACCGGAGAATCACTGATTATTTATTCATTCATTTGTTCATTCGTCTCCAATTGGTTGCTCAGAGTTGAAGGGAAGGAGGTAGCCAGTCGCTGCACCAGGCTAAGCACGGCTAAAAGTATCTTTCATCATGATTTCCAGCGGTATTCGGGGGAATTATCTCTCCATTTTCCCCAATTCGGAGGCCATTTCTCTCGACTCCCTCCGTGACCGACACAGATTTCTCTCCTTCTAGTTTTCTCACTAGTTCCGGAGCACTGCCCCGCGAAGCCTGTTATACCGCTGACTGGGTCACCTCTCCCTTCCCTTAGAATAACCAGCTTTTGTATCACTCTAAAGAACCTTAGTAATATTCAAAGAGTATATACTGATCTACCAAATTATGTAAGATGCAGTCTTTTATAAGCACCAAACAATAATTAATGAGGCCCTATATTATCTTACACGACACCGAATGCCAGTCTTTGCAGACATATCCCTGCGCTGCATGGATACACGCTCTATTTTTAGAATATTGTGCACACACCTGGGCAGGCCAGCTTTTGGCAATTTAACGGTGAGTAGGCGAGCGCCCTCTGTTGGCCAAATTTGTGAATGATCAACAACAAATCACTATCATAAATCATTTCTCCACACTAGAGCTATATTTATAAACGTTCTGTGATATCCAAATTGAGTTCAGATACATTATGGGTAAGACAAAATGGACAATATTTGGAAACCTTTAGTTAATGGTACATAGAATTTGGATATTGACAAGTTTTATGGCTCGTTGTAAGAATTATTCTCTTCCTGTTTTAGAAGTTCCAAGTGGTTGGTGAGAAATCAAGATGTTAACAAGTTATGGAATTTACTCAAATTAACAAAATGGAGGAAATATTCTTCATTCCCTCTTTCCAATCATTGAAATACTTTTCTTGTTTGAGGTCAGTAAAATAGTTTGTACATCTAGCATTTTAAACTAAGAGCCTCTTTAGGACTTTAAGAAGATTTGATGGTGCAGCTTATCCTGGACAATCATTCTTCCTCCTCTCTTGAAGTGTTTGTTTTGAGGGTAAGCTTCAGATATGCACGACACACGCCTGTCCTGCCACCTGCACCATCTTGGGAGGTCGCCATTTTAACACCTTTGATGGCAAAAGCTATGAGTATGAAGGCAACTGCGAGCACGTACTACTTCAAAATGCAACCAGTGACGACCCAGCCTTCAGCATCTTCATGGTTAAGACTAAGTGTAGCAATGATGAGCCGCGATGCGATGACATTCCGGACATTAGCATTACGACCCCAGATGGGACTCAGTATGGGTGAGTATTTTCTAAATCCTGGCATTTGAGTGTGGGTCAGAAGTTGAACCAAATAATATTCTTGTATTGATACAACTTTTTTTGTAATGATGTTCAAGTTTCAGTTGGTTTTTGGATTTAAATTTGAAATCATTGATATATGGACAATTCCAAGCAAATTGGGTTTTTTGGGGTGTCCAAAACATTTTTGTGTGTGGGCTGATATCTTGGATTTTGTAGACTTATTTTTCTATGCATATTAATTGCAAATGTTATTGTGATTTTTTGTTTGTAATACAGAGAGAAAGGTTCATTTTTTATCCCATCTTTGATTTTTGAGTTTTGTATACCATGTGAAAGAGTAACCCTGTAGCAGATTGGACCACAGATTGGACCAGTGCCATTGGCCCACCCAGGATTTGGTTTCGGGGGGGGGGGGGGGGTCTCAAATGTTTTTTTTACAAATTTGTTAAAAGTTGAATTTTTTGGCCGCAGAATTGTGACGTTGGTGGCGCCACTTACACCCCTATTATACTACTCAAAAACATGCAACATTCATATCACCAGGGCCAAATTGTGGGACTAAAAAAAAATACAAAAAAAAGAAAAGAAGACAGCCTGGGAGGGGGGGGGGGGGGCTCCCCCAAGAGGTTGTCAATTTTTGTTGTTGTTGTATTTTTGTTTATATTGCGCCACTGACCAGTGCTGCAATACGTCTCATATCTGAGTAAAGCGAACTAGACATTGTCATCAGCCGTGCAGCCTGCAGCGCATTTTGTTTACCATCTTCCACAGCTGATCATGAGCTGCTAGGCAAGTGACGATTGATGTCACCACTAAATAAACAGAGTAGGCGATATGCTTTGGAATGGTATCACATAAAGGTATTTGTTATACCTCTGTCTTGAATACTGTATTTTCATTGGCCTAGAACGATCACGAGTTAAGTTTATAAAAAGTCATGGCACACTCCCTGTGGGATATCACGTACGTGATGATATCCCACAGGGAGTGTGCTATGACTTTGTACGTACAGGGTACGGAGTGTAACACTTTATCATTGGTACCCACGCTATTTTCACCATGTTTTTACGCATGAGTGGGAGCAGCGAACTAGCAGACGATCAGGTGTTTCAAGCACACTACATGCATGTGAGTTTGGGTTTGATTGCTGTGTTTACTGCTGTTTGTTTTCGTGACTTTTACATCAAAATTCAAATAATCCAAGACAGAGGTATAACAACACAATTGTTGACTGCTGTGATGTGGGATGTGACGTTATGAACACCTATCGGGGCGCATGCGGCCCTCGGGTGTTCAACACATCATATCCCACATCACGGTAGTCAACAATTGTTAAATGCGCGTAACAATTCTCTAGAAATTTCACAGTGAATTTGGGTCATTCTTTGTTATTCAGAAGAAAAGTGCTGACAATTTTCAGAAACTCAACACAAACACACTTCAGAAATCGTCTTGTTTCTACTTTTGAGGATATCTTTTCACAATGAAAATGGACAGTGTGAATCTTGAATACCTTGGCTGCTCAAAAATTAAAAAAAATTAAAAAACAACAGGATTTTGGGAAATATTCCTCATTTAGCCTCACTAGGTCACATATTTGGTGGAACTCCAGCTTAGGATTTAATGTACAACATGACATGGTTAATGAATGTAATGTTAACTGAAATAGTCAATGAGATACAAGTCCTGTAATGACTATTATGGAAGTGACGCTCATAGGTTATGACTTTCAGTAAGCAATGTTAACAGTTTGTTACAGGGATAACAGTTTCTTGCAGGAATTAAATGAAACAAGTACATGTTTGTTGTGGTAGATAGCCTCACCCTACAAAGACACCAATGACATTTACAAAAAGCAACTTTGATATTATGGATACATCATGTTTTTGTTTAGATGTCTGAAATCAACTTCACATACATGATTAAAAAACATACTGAATCATTTTATTTTAAGTTCTGGGTGTTAATTGTACAATTTATGATCCTTTCTCTCTCCCTTAAGGGAGTATACATGTATATCATTTGCTGCTATCCAAAAAATAATAATTAGTAATGGTACTAAACTCCCTGTGAAATTGTACTTTCTGACATGCTGTCATTTGGAAGAAAACATTAAAGAAGGCAATTTCCAAAGATGCGTACGTCTAGTGACCCATTTTTGGAATTTCCGTTAGTGAAGAGGGGGGTATTGCAATAACGTATTCCTGCTGTCCGTGTGTCTGGGTGTTATGTTTTGGTTAGGTTAACATTGTCAGCATGATAACTTGAGAAATACTTTACTTAGGAACTTGAAATTTGGTTTGTGGGTTGTTGTTGGTAGTCTTAAGAAGCCTTTTGCTTTTGGGGCCAACAGGTCAAATGTTAAAGCAATAGGAATCTTGTCAACGTGCTATCCTGAGAAATACTTAAGAAACTTGAAATTTGGTTTATGGGTTGTTATTTGTAGTTATAAGAAGCCTATTGCTTTTGGGACCCACAGGTCAAAGTTCAAGGTCACTATTGCTAAAACAGTAAAAAAAAACTTGTCATCTTGATAACTTGAGAAATACAGGGTAAGTAAAAAAACAACGAAACCCAAATGTCGGGACTATTGTTTCAGTGAAGTTCTGCATGTAGCACTTTCAAAATCTAGGATATGATAGCCCAATTCATAAGCTTTCTTTTAGTACAAGAATCATTCAAATCACTCATGTACTTTTCAAGTTAAGAAATTTTAAACTCAACCACTGTTTTAAAGTTCTGTCCACGGATCACAAAAAAAGGTGTGCATTCTTGCAGCAAAACGAAAACAATTCACACACATCCCTATGTGATTGTTTTTGTTTCGCTGAAAGAACACTGAATTTTTTGTGATCCGTGGACAGAATCTTAAAATGGTGGTTGTGTTTAAAATCTCTAGGGTTCAGGAATACGTTCAACAGAATCCTTGTAGCTGGGTATAAAGTAAAGATATTTGTCTGACCCTTAGAGCTATATTAAATTACTAGAGCGCTAACTCCTCATTCTGTGCGCGGAGATGCTGTGAAGCCGTCCTGGGCGCAGACATTTTGAATTTATGTGCGTGTTTGTAGAACATAATGAAATTAGATGGATTGAATTTTGAAAGTGTACTCTAAATGCAACGCGCAAGTAGAACATATAATAATAATAATAATAAACAGTTCTTATATAGCGCAATATACAATTTAGTCTCTATGCGCTTGTGCAAGTGAACAGGTGAGTTTTAACAAGTTGTTTGAATTGATCCAAGGTGGGACAGGTTTTGATATGGTGAGGGAGATCATTCCATAGTTTGGGAGCAGTGAATTGAAAGGCACGTTGACCGTATGATTTGGTGGTAACTGGATAAGGAGTGAGAAGATCTTTGGAACTAGAGCGGAGGGTTCTTGGTGGTTGATATTTGTTGATTAATTCTTGGAGGTAAATTGGGGCTAATCCGTGTATGCATTTGTAAATCAGAACCAGTAATTTGAAAGTTATGCGGGATTTCACTGGTAGCCAATGCAGGTCATGCAGAACTGATGAAATGGGTTCATGCAAGCGTGTTTTTGTGACAAGCCTCGCCGCAGAGTTCATTATTCGTTGGAGTTTATTAAGTTGGGAATCTGGCAGTCCGTAAAGAAGACTGTTGCAGTTGTCGATGCGACTAGTCACAAATGCATGGATCAGCCTTTCTGTTGTTGACTGATCCAAAAATTCGCGAATTTTTCCGATTTTATGTAAGCCAAAGGAAGAAGCACGACATATATTACTGATGTGCTTTTCCATAGTTAGGTGTTCATCGATGATTACGCCAAGATTCCGTGCACTTTGAATTGGTTGAAGAGAAGAATTGTCGATGGTGATGGGTGGAATATGCAAACAAAAAAAGCGCGTCATTGACGGTTCAAAATAACGTGACGGCAAAACGCATCTGCAGCGAATACGCGTTGCGCTGTTTGCGTAGAGAAAAAAAGAAACGCTCATTTGCTGATTGTGTGTTTCGGTTTTGGGCGTATTGGCTTCGATAACGCACCGGTTTGGAATACAAACGCAGATATGCAAATAGCCGTACAAAAGCCGTACAAAATTTCTTGGTCTCCATAGGTTTGTGCACAAACATGGATACGCCCAGCAGGCATTACTTTGTGCACGAAGTTAGCGCTCTAGTAATTTCATATAGCTCTATGGTCTGACCTAAGTTTGTTTGGTGTTAAACGAGTGCCGTGCTCTGGTGGTCTGAAGCATTGAATTTGTGGTCTGCAGGTTGTGGATTCGAGTCCAGCCTGCAGCTATGGTGCGTGTGCCCTTGGGCAAGGCACTTTGTCACTCATTGCTTCTCTTCACCCAGGAGTAAATGGGTACCTGTGAGGGAGATAGTTATTGTGATTGATTTTAGCTGCTTTGCGCTGAATGGCAGCATCGAGCTGTATACTCCCCATGAAGCTGAGATGGTATTTGGAATGTTTCATTGGCGCAATTAGCAGGGTAATAATGATGTACGCGCCTTGAGCACCAGTACTGGTGGATATGTGTGCTTTATAATTTACGCATTATTATTTATAATGACTAGTTAATTAGCTTTTTATGTAAATTTTAATCAAGTGATGAAATATCCCCTGTGTCTGTGCCTGAACAGATTGTTGGAAGCTGATGCAGTGACAGTAAAGGACCACCACAACCAGCCAGCACAAGAGCTGAAATTGCCGTACTTTCGGATAGCCGACAACAGTACAATCAGCATTACCTGCGTGTCGTCCATTTTTACACGAGTGTCCATGCCGATGCTTGGTATAGAGCTTTTGTTGGGAAGTGACAACCGTATCTATCTCTCAGTTTCTGAGAAATTGTTTGGAAAGGTAACTGGCAATTGGAAAATCTAAAGAAGAAATGCTGAATTGATATTAACGCTAATTAAATGCTGATTGACTTTAAAGCTATAGTCCATCATTTGTAATTAGTGCATTTTGTTCGTTTGAAGCAACAAAAGTGTTCAAAATCTAATGAAGGATACTGAGCAACTAACCTGATGAAGTTTCAGCTAAGCTTCAGCTGTACATTCCGAGAAAAGCAGCATTCTAGGATCTCAATTTCAAATCAAAAGTTACTGAATCATGTTTTGAATTGTTTTGAATTGCAGCTATACCCGGCGTCGCGCACTGATCCGACGAATTATAACAAACGCCGCGCGCGGGTGCGTCGTTCAAATGCTTGCGTGCACTGCGCCGAATAACAAAACGAACTACTAATTTAAATTTTCCTACGGTGCTTCTTAAGAATCACCATTGGGAATGCCTTCTTTCGTTGATTTCTTCAAAATGACAGCTTCCAGAAGGAATAATTTCACAGGGCGTTTAGTTCCCTTACTATCTTTCAACCAAGTTTGTTTTTCAACAGTAATTACGCCAGTTACTTTCGGATAGCTGCAAATGATGGACTATAGCTTTAATGATAAAGTGAATTCTGTTTTATTAGACAGAATGTTATCACATTCTTAAGTCTGAAGTAATGATATGAATCTGCTCTTCACAAAGGTGGAAGGTCTTTGTGGAACC